AGGAGGTGGAGGGTGGGGCTCAACGCAACTTTCTCCCCCTTTGGAAGAGTCCCGTTCCGCTCGCGAATTCGTGCGGCCGATCCGCAGCTCGCTCACAACCAGTACGAGCCAATGAGCGCTTGCGACTGGCGATCGAGGCCCCCTTTTTGCATTGGAGAGGCTTGACGCGACGCCGAAAATACGTCGATGCTTTCTCTTTCTGCGCTTCGCCGCGCGCTCTGCTCTAGTCCGCGAGCTTGGGTAATGGCGGCTGGAGCGCAGCTGAGCTCGGTGCCTGAAGTGGAGCTGGACCCCGATGGCACTTTCAAATATATCCTGGTGCGGGTGCAGCGGGGGACTGATGAGCACCGCGACGTCGTGAGGGGCACTGCGGACGCCGAGTTCCACAGTGAGTGGAGCTGTCAGCTGGACCGGACCCAGACAAGGGCTTACCAATGAGCACCGCTCAGCCTGAAATTAAGAAGCCGGATAGCACTAGAGAGAGAGAGAAAAAAAAATGGAAAACTTACATGTGTGACTAACGAGTGGGCTCTGAGAACATTAGTTCAGTGCATTTAACCTGGGTTAGATCCGCTGTCAGATTTCGCTGGGACACCCAAGCCTAGTTCAACCATAATGTTCCGTTTGCTTTCCTTTTAAGTATGGTTTGTGGGTTCTCTCTCTCTCACCCCCCCCCCCCATTATGATTTAGTAACAGGAGAATATAGGAACTTGAATATTGAGTGTGCATACTTGTGTGAATCCAGCCATGTTGAAATAATTTGTTTCAGTTATGCCCTATTAATTTTTGCATTTGAAATCTGGATGAGAAAAGCACATTGTTCTATCTCTTATTTGGATTATAGTATAATAAATCTAAATGACTGTGATGCTTTAGACTCACTGCCATGCTTTTCTTTTCCACAAAACTTTGCTTAATTGTTTTATTTTATCATTCTATTTTGTTTGTGGACAGAGAAAGCCAAAAAAAATAAACTCTTGTCAGACTTTTCTGGCATTCAGTTTTGGTATTTCTTTTTGACATCTACAAGATGAAGAGAGTCTATATTCATTTATAATATTTTTTTCTAGACATAAATTGCTTGAATGATATGAATACTATAATTCAGGCAAGATAATTTTTATAGTTCCTACAATGTTTACATTTCACAGATCCTTGTGTTTTGTCTTTATAGTATTCTAATGATCTATTTAGCTTCTATTTTTTTATTACAGATCACATATTTGAAAAAGTAAACCCTGAAATGGAAAAGCTAGGTTTTGTATGCAAGTGTCTTGGAGGAGGAAAAATTGAACATAACAGCAAAGACAAGAAAATCCGTGTATTTGGCCTTTCTACAGTAAGTGCTGTTTACATATGCTGCCCAAGTATGATGATTTAATTTGCATATTAAGATTAGAGTAGGGTTCATAAATGCATTAATTCATAAGAAGGAATGGTATAGATTTTGGGATGAGGTTTCTAATTCTCAGATATCTTCAAAAATGTATCATATTTCATGTTACACCATTCCTTGTGGAATTTTTATTATGTTCATACATTTTCAGTTATGCCGATTGCAAAACGACAACTGCCAAACAAGAACATATTCTAAATTACATAGTATCCAGAATAATAGGCATAATGAATCCAGATTCTTATTTTTATTGCTTTCTGTTCTGGAGAGATCTTAGGGCCACAACTGGGATACCCAGGAATCATTCCTTATTTAGGAACAACCTATTTCTGATGCATCATAGAAAACACAAAAATTTACAAACTACAACTGTTTGATACTAATGGTTGTTCTTCAGTTTTATTTAAGAAATTATGGCAGTTGTTTATCATTTATTTAAATTTGTATAGCTGCCTCTTACAAAAGGTGACTCTGGGGAACATAGAACAATCAAGTAAAACAACAAACCTGTTATTTTATCATAAATTACCTGCTTTGAGTTATAAAAAATAAAATTGTATAGCTACCCATCTCATAGAAAGTAATTCTGGGCAGCAATGAACAACCAAATAAAACCAAGTTACTTTATTATAAATAATCTGCTGTGAGTTATTTTATAAGTTGCTTTGAGTAGACTTATTTTATCATTAGTTGTCTATTTGGAACAGGTACTATTAGGAATAAGTCTGTTTGGAAATAATCATGCTCAACAGCTGTAGTAGAATGGACTAAAATATTGTGAGTGTCTTTCCCCACCCTTTTATTGTACGATTCCATGACACTAGAAATCTTTTCTTCTTACAGGGATATGGTAAAGCTGATCATTCTGTGACTGTTGAAATACTGAAGAGAACTTATAAAGATTATGAAATTAGCTGGTCAGATGACAAGAAATAAATTGTATAATCTAATATAAACCTGTATCTTTTCAAGATAGTTATACACTTAATTCTAAGCTCCCATGCGAAAATACAATCAGTGCATTTAGCCTATACTGAATAAAAAATGGGATATGAATGGGTTGCTTCATGATTTAAATAACTTGAAGTTTTATCACGTCTTCACATCTCATTGACAGCATTTGTATTTTTTAAAATCCATACTTCCAGTTTACATTATCATAAAGATAATTTTGGACCCTGCATTAGTGCAAGCCCCATTTAAACATTTTTAAGAAATAAAGTTTCAAGTCAAGTTTTACTTTGAGGACTGAATATTTCCATTTTTGCTGATAAACTGCCAAGTCATAGCCAGAATGAACACATGATCTTTGATAATTCATCCAGTTTCAATATTAAAACTCATGGAAACTATCTGGAATAATATGCCCAATACTTGCAGTTCTAGGCTCCAAATTAGGGATCTACATCTTTTTCAGGTACACCTTTCCTAAAATAATGCAATTTTAGAGCTTTATTTGGGAAAACCAAAATCATATATAACAATTTATTAATATTTTAATTTAGAAGGGGGACTGTGAGCCATTGATACACTGGCAACTGCAGATGCTGGATATAAATTCTCCTATTGGCAATTACATGACATAATTCTCGTTGTCATCCAATCCCAGAGCAATTTAAAATATAATAGCATGTAGACAGAGGCTGCTTACCCCATGGTGCTATAAAGAAAATAAAGATAAATTTCTCTCATACATATAATTTACCCATAGTTAATTAAGCTATGATTTATTGAATCCAATTTTCTCAGTAATTAAATACAAGGGCTGAATTGATTGGTTTGTCATTCTGATATCTACCAAATTAGTTGGAAAATAAACATTTTACCATAAATATATTAATTTCAGAGATGGCATGTAAAATGAATTTAGAATTTGTAAAGCATGAACACTGCCATTCCTATTTTGCTTTTGAAGCAGCTGCCTTAAGTTTCTTAAACTAGTTGGATCTTTATGCCAGTAAAATTGAGATAATTTTGATAAGCGATTGATGTATTAGATGAAAAGATATTGTACATGTATCACTCTTAGATAAATTAGATGAGGAAATAACAATTGTGAAATCAAATTAGGTCCATAAAAGAATGCAGTCTTAGACATTCATGGGAAATGACTGCTAGACAAGATCAAGCAAAAAATATCCTTATCAAATCAAACCAAACCTTTATTGTCAATGCACAACATGTGTACAATGAAATTGAATGAGCCTCCCTTGGTGCAGCCCACCCCCCTCCCACCCCGAAACACAAAATACATCTCAATAATTCAATAAATGAAAGAAATAGAATCCCTAAACCCAAATAAGTAATAACACACATTCCCATTTCCCTACCGTGTTTCTCACAAAATAAGGCCGGGCCTTATTTTTTTTTTGACCCCCCAAAAAATGGCTAGGCCGTCTTTTCGGGGGTAACTTAATTTCCTCCCCCACCTAGAGTGGCCCATACGCCACGAGGCCGTTTCTTTCTTTTTTTTAAATAAAGTTTTATTTGGGTTTTCACATACAAAATACAAGTAAAACATCTTTTTTGAAAATAGCATGGTCCCGGGTTGAACTTCTTTATACAGACACAAAACTCAATTTCATGCTCCTTTTTGTATTCTATTCCATATCTTGCCATGCCTCGCCCTGAAGCGGCTGGGGACTCTGCCTTCAAGGGAGCTTTCATCGGCCGATAGAAGCGGCCTCGCGGCAAGGGGAGTGTGTGCGCTCGCCCCGAGGCCACTTCTACCGGCCAAAGTGGCTGCCCTTGGGGAGCTTCCATCGCCTGAAAGACACTGCCTAATGGCGAGGGGACACGGGCAGCCATGCCTCGCCCCGAAGCGGCTGGGGACTCTGCCTTCAGGGAGCTTCCATCGGCTGATGTTCTATTGGTAGATCGGGGTATTCTAGCCTAGGCTACCTGCAGGGCACTCCTAAAGGCAAGTTTTCTCCCCCCCCACCCCCGCCCTTCCCCCCCATTTCTCTTCACCTCGTGTAGTTCTAACGGACGATGTAAGAAATGGCAGGGAAACGCATGGATTAAATAGGCCTATATTTTGGGGGGTGGGGCTTAATTTCACCTCATGCCTAGAAATCATGCTGGGCTTTCCTATTGGTGGAGGCCGTATTGTTGGAAAAACACGGTATGTGTATGTTACATTATATTACACTGGTATGAACATGTTGCACGTTGCGCTGGCCCTGCAAGTCTATCATATTAAACCTAATTGTAGTGTTATGTTGCATTCAGAAGTCTGACAACCCATGGATAAAAGTTATTTTTCAGCCTATTTGTTTGGCTGGCTATGCTTCTATATCTCCTGCCCAATGGTAGGAGAGTAAAGAAGTTCTGACCAGGGTGTGAATCATCCCTGAGGATTTTCCTCACTCTGCTGAGGCAGCGGGTCCTGGCGATTTCATCCATTGGTGTCAGGGGACAGCTCATAATTTTTTGTGCTGTGCTCATCATCCTCTGTAATGCCTTTCTGTCTGCGGCTGTCAAGCCAGCATACCATACCGTAACACAATATGTAAGGATACTTTCTATCATAGACCAATAGAAATTATGTGGTATATACCTTGCACAAATAATTATAAATAATTTAGAGACAAGAAGAAAACCATAAATGAAGAAGGTTTTGGTGTAAGTAAAGACAAATGTAGTAGTAATTTATTACACCTCTGATAACAGAAAATACATATTTCATAATATGCATGTTAGCATGTTAACAGGAATTCTTAAATGTCAGTTCAATTATGAAACGCTTGAGCCCCTTCTCAATAACTTTAACCACTTGAGATTTAAATACATTCTTCTTTTCTATGAAACTTGTAAAAAGGTGGACCCCTCCTCCACACCCAAAATAATGTGCTTTGCTAGCTAAAAATATGGTGCCCTTTCTTGCCAATAAACTTGAAAGTGCATTATGGAAAGCTTCGTAGTAATTAGGATTATAAATAGTTTCTGATGTAAGTATAAGATCATATTTTACTACAGGTTTGGTGTTATTTAAAATAAAATGACTAAATTCTGACCATTCCCCAGAAAAAAATTTGCATTTAGGCAGAAAATCTTGGGTGAAGTCTTTTTTCCTAGATTGATTTAGGTGAAGCTCGGTATCTTCCTCACCACTGTCATCTTGAGGAGAAAAATTCGCCAGTATGTTCGGCATGGTGATTTCTTCAATTACTGAACTGTTATAATCTTGAAAATGAACTTCTTTGGCATTTCCTTTTAGTGCAACTATTCCTAACAGTCCAACTCCACACCCAAGGTCCAAAACTGACTTCTGTGCAAACTGAATATCAGTTTCTGATAAATAATCCAGGAGATCAAAAGTGCATTCCCAAATCTTTAAACCTCCTTCATAGACACCTGTAATTAGGTCAGATTGAGAAGAAATGCTAGACATGTTTTCTTTGACAGAGTTCCCTGGGAGTGCAGTTGCTACCACATAAATATTTACATGGTGAATGCCTGGTAAAGTTGCAATAGTTTTGCTCTCAAGGACTTTACTGACATCTTTAGGAATATCATGCACCTTGGCAGATTTGGGACAGGATTGTTTCCTCGACAAACTTGTATCAGGATTTGCATTCAAAGTACTGTGGTCTGATATATTAGCAGTGGTTCCAGATAAATAGCAATTTAATTTATTTTCTTCTGAGGTAATGTTATTGCTGTTTTCCTGATTATTCAATAGGACCATTTCCTGCTGTAGCTTTTCATTCTCAGCAGTATCTGTTCTGTTTTCTGCTATGTTGTCTACAGAGAAGTTGAATTGAAATTCCATTGTCTTGAGAAATAAACAGAAAAAAAAATTGGTCTTTATTAATATGCAAACACATACTGATTTTGGCTGTACTTAAAAATAGATGTATAAAACTTATTTTTAAAGTGACATTTAACTTCTACAGTTATAGTTTCCTATAACTTTCTAATATCCTTATAAATGTATACAGTATATATGTGTCTTAACAATACTCATACAGTTGTAGAAAGTTAGCCTCTCCTAGAAGAATGAAATATTTTAGAAAATATTAAAAAGACAGAATATTATATTTTCCTGGATGAGAAAAGGAGAAGCATGTTTTTAAAGACAAAACAGCTCCCTGCCCCCTCTGCTTCAGCTCCAGGGTGATGGGATTAAGACATGGTCCTCGACATGACAGGATTAGCCCTCTACCCATCTCACCACATGGCACCTTGGGACATCATCCAGCAAGATTTAACCAAACCTGGGACTCAAGACAACTTACAAAGTTACCCCTGCATGGCCCCATGGGAGTCTGACAACCAACCAGGATACATTTCTTGCCACAGGAAACAGGCAACAAGTTGAAAGCCCAACAGAGGGTATAAATCTCTCTCCCTCTCTCACGTGCTCACTCCATGTGGTCCTGTTCCACCATTAAACCATCCTTCCAAGGAATATCCTGTGTCTTTCTTCCCACTTGGAACTGAACCCAGGTGGACATTTCTTCCAACACAGTAAATGCTACCCCATCCTGTGGTTTATCTGGTTATGCCAGGGGTCTTCAAACTTGATAGCTTTAAGACTTGTGGACTTCAACTCCCAGAATTCCTCCTCCAGTCATGTTAGCTCAGGAATTCTGGGAGTTGAAGCCCACAAGTCTTAAACTTGCCAAGTCTGAAGACCCTTGGGTTATGCCTTTGTGTGTTGAAAGGAATTCCAGAGAGACAGCAATCTTCGTTGTCCAGGAAAAAAGATACGCCAGATTTGAGGCAGGATTAATTTGTCCCCAAATCTAATTCAGTTTCAAAAATCTTTTTCCCAGCGTTTCCACGGGAAAAAAGGAATACAGCATAACCAAATCTGACACACCAAGTACTTTCCTGCCAAGTACTACCTTAATTATGCAACTCCCCCACTACACACACCCCACATAGACACTCCCCTCCCCCTTCCAGGAGCAGCCTAATTACCACACAATACAGGGTCCTTTCCCCCCAACCTCGTGAATGGTGGCGTTGGCAGACTCAGAAGACTTAAGCCTCTCACGGGAGGAGGACGCCTCTAGCCCACGGCAGGGCAGCCCATCGACTTAGCGGAGAGGCAGGCCGGCGGGTGAACAACCGAAAGCCCACGGGGCCCAGGCGGGGGTCTCGCCTTCCAAAGGCTTTCCAGAGCAGCTCCGGCGCAGGACTAGCCCGCCCTCGAGCTGGCTCTATGATCGCCGCGGTGTTTGATGGGAATCGCGCTGAGCGGAGGAGGAGGAGGGCCTTCGCTTTTGGCGGCAGATACGGAGTGAGCGCCATGGCTCGGGCCGAGCCTGAGGAGGTGTCGCTGTTGTCCGAGGTGGAGGGCTGGGATCCAGAGGCGTGCCGTCGCCAGCTTTCCGCCGCTCTGCCGCGCCTTGTCATATCCTTCTCAATTGCAATAGCCCAGGCGCGGGGGCAGTTGGGAATGGGAAAAGGAAAGGTGCCCCCCTCCCCTTCCTTTAATTTATCGTACGGGTATCCCTCTGCCGGTGTTTGTGATGAATGGTCGGTGGTTTCCTCGGCCCTTGCAAGCCTCGCAGCCGGCTGAGGGGATGGCTAGAAAGGAAGCGCTCCAAGTCTGGGAAATGAGAACGGCCCGTAGGAAACGCAGGTAAAGCTCAGCCGTTTCTCAAACGCAGCCGCCTGATCATTAAATATATTTCTTCAGTTTATTTGTTTTTCGTTCCCTTTCCACAGACAGCGGCTTACAATTGCTAACGTGAAATTCAAACGTTGGATAGCAGTAAATAATAACAAATCAGTGGAAGCTCCCTTTCGGAGATCTGATTTTTCTGAGCCCCCCATTCGCTTGAAGAGCCTCCATGGATGGAGGAGGCGCTTGTCATAGCTTTCTGCCTGGAGGGAACCAAAAGAGATTGAAACGACCTCACTGAACAGGAATGAAAGAATGAAGCAGAAGACTGAAGCGATACTATACTGTGTACATGGAGGGAAACAAGCGGAGCAAGAGACTGATGTCTGCTTCTCCCCATCTCTCTTGTAGTGTTGGCACTAGTTCCTAAACTCCTGCTTCATTCTTAATTGCCTTGCTTATTTGCCCCTCCTGTTCATTTGCTCACTTTCAACAATGCCTACTATTAATATATTTTTAGGGAATGCAAGATGTCTCTCTAGTTTAAACATACAATGATATAGAAAAGACGTATCTTTTTTTAAAGGTACATGCAGTATAGTAGAAAAACTTACAGCTTTATTTACAGCATTATCATTGAATTTCTTTTTTATTTTTAAGTGATCATGTTTATATTTATAAATTTTAAATTCCTGTTTTTGTTTGCTTTCTGCCTTGAGTAGAAGGGTATATAAATCAAATAGGTAAACATTTTAATCCTCCAGAGTCCTTCATAAAGCTAGTTGTAAATGCACACATCTTAAATATACAAAAAGTTTAACATTTAACTATATTTAACTGACATTTTCACTATATTAAGATAGAAACAAAATAAATGCAATAGTATTATGTTTCATGACCAGTAAGTAGTGCTTATTGTGACCAATTTTTTTAGCCGCAGAATAGAATTTGGAAGCAATATTTTATTAGAGCATGGTTCTTATTTCAGTGCATTAATGTTGAAGTTACTGCTGAAGTCTATTTGTCTCTTTTGGCCCTTATGTTTTTGTTTGGTACTATAATTGTTAAATGCAAAGATGTAAAATGTTACACTTGGGAGTGGTTCAGAAACAGCAGCTAATTAGAAAATATAGCCCCATTCTAATCAACTGAGATCAAATCTAATCTGTTTTATATAGTTGTAATCATACTGATCTTTTACCAGTTTTCAAATGTAATTCACAATGCTGTTTTTGATTTGTAAAACCTTAAAACAACTGGGAAAAGTATCCTAAATATCACCTTCTGATTCAAGGATCTGCTTGGATATTGGGATTGGTTCTCTAAGATGTACAGTATTCCTACACTTCCTATCCCCCTTGATAGGAAGTAAAGAAGCTAATGATATATTGTCCTTAAAATAATTATCCAGGGAGTTTGCCCATCGTTATAACCTAAATTAAAAAGGAAAATAAAACAAGTCAAAACAAACAATTGAAAATCAAAAAGAAATCCTATACATTATTTTAAGATGAACAGCCAAAATGCAAATATGCTAGGGTAATTAGAAAAACATTGATGGTGGCCTGTGGGCTTGATGCATCACATGCAAGCCACTCCCACCCCAGCTCTGCAAAGGTAAAAAAACGTCACAATATATCCCGTGACATCAATATGACACAGCAAGTTTGACACATGAGATTTGGAGGAACCAAATACTTTTACCACTGTTTAAACTACCAGCAAATATATAGTTTTATTTTTCAGTTGGTTGCAATGACAAATTCTGTCTGATTTTAAATCAAAACTGATTCCTCTTGAGGCCCAGAGGATCCTGGAGTTTCAGTTCTTTGGGTTGAGATACATCCTATGCTCTGCAAGCCACAGACATTTTTATTTGGAAGTAGTAATCTCAATTGGTGTAGCCAGTGTAGCTTAAACTACTGTTGTTTAGTTGAAAGCAGAACCATTAGTATATATTGTGAATTAAATTAGCGTGCTCAGATGTTGATAAAGCTCAACTTTATTTTAAGATATGAATATGCTATTTTTCTTAATATTTGTACTCTTTATATCAGGCAACTGACAGTGGGATTCAGCATATATGTAAGTAGTTTCTGTATAGACTTTTAAAGTATGCTTAATTCCTTTATTGTTTGTAATTATTAAATTCTATGAATATGCACGAAACAGATTTATTTTGAACCCAGATCAAATCATTGTGTACTGGAGGTTCTGCAAAATTGTCTCAGGTCAGCCACAATTCATCATAACATTTGGGTGGTTCCAAGCTATGGATGACACAAAGTCTGGGCAAGGCAAGCAGACCAAAGCTGGTGCTTTTCTTTCGTATGTCCTAGGAGGTATATCTCACCTGCCAGCTGTTCTGTGGATGTTGTTACATTTATGTCAGCAAGATCTTTTCTGGAATCACCCTGCTTATAGAAATTCAGAATTTCTCAAATGAACATCTAAATATGAGTGCTTTAGAGCCGCCAACCAAGCCAAATTATCCTGTCAACCATCTTTTGCTTCCTTCAGTCAATGATACCAAAGAAACTGTATTAATCCTAGCTTGTTAGATCTTCATAGTTAAATGATTCAGAAAAAATGCAAGATTTTTCAGTAAACATGCTATATGGGAATTCAAAATGAAGGCAGCAAAGTATTCAATAAAGGAGAATATTTGTACCGTATTTGCCGGCGTATAAGACGACTTTTTTGCCCTGAAAAACATGCCTCCAAGTGGGGGGGTCGTCTTATACGCCGGGAGGACTCCGACTCCCACTTCGAGCTTGAGTTGCAGCCGGGAGGGAGGCTGGGGGGGGGAGCGGTGTGTGTGTGTGTGTGTGTGTGTGTGTGGCGGGTGTCACTCGCCACGCGCTGCGCAACCTTTCCCCCTCTTCCTTCCTTAGCGGTGTGGGGAGGAGAGGATTCGAAGATCCTCACGTGCGGCGTACTTTTCTTTTTCTTTTTTTCTTTTTGCACGCAGGTTTTGCATGCGGGCGGCTATAGGTTAAGGATGGGGGAGCCCCCGGGTGGGTTATCAGGTTTTACGGTGCTTCCAACATGTGCGAACGGTGGGAGAGCGGAGAAGAGAGCGAGCGAGCGCCCCGCTGTGTGAAATCCTGCCGTCAAAGCAACACTGGGGGAGGCAGGGTATAAATTTACCAGGTTAATGTAGCAATGGTGATTAATGCCCAGAACATTGTTTGCGGGTATTGTGGTGTGTGTGTGTGTGTGTGGTGGTGGTGAGGAGAGGTTGTCCTTTGAATGCGGAAAAGTAGGTGTGACCTTGTGTAGGAAAATAAAGAGATCCTTTTTAGCGTGTTTGGCTTCTTTGCCTCCCCTCGTTCGTTTTGACGTGGAGATAATGGCCTTCGGGCGGGAGGGGAAGAAAACGGTAGCTGGATCATTTCAAATTTCACTTACTCTCCTGCCTCACTTCAATATGTCTGAGCGACTCCAGATACTGGAAGACTTTTTGAATGAAAGTGTTACCTCCATATTTTTTTTTAAAGAGGGCCACTTGGGGAAAAAAAAAGATTCTAAGGAATTCCTTGTTTCTTGATTAAAGAGAAGGCATTGAATATACTGTTCCTTGGCAGCCTTTTCAGTGTCCGGGTTTTTGGTGTGTGTGTGTGTGTGTGAGAGAGAGAGAGAGAGAGAGAGAGAGATCAGCTGTATTGAGAAGAGAACGTTTCCTGTGTTCTCATTTTATTTACAACATATTTTACGCTTAATGGTAAGCAATGAAAAATATTTTTAAAACTCATTTCTAAACTCCATAGCTATTTGCATATTCTTGGTTCAAAATTGGATTAGCTCATTTCAAAATTGTCCAAAGCAGAAAAGTGCGTCAAAAAAAAAAAAAAAGTGCAAAAGTGGAAGGTGTGTGGAAGAGGGGGTAGTCTTATACGGCGAGTATATAACAAACTCTATATTTTGAGTGGAAATGTTGGGGGGTCGTCTTATACGCCCAGTCGTCTTATACGCCGGCAAATACGGTAGCTCAGGGTTGAAATGTGCGGTCCTTGATGTTCTCCGAGCTTGATTGTTTTTTTGCATATATTTCATTAGCCAAAGTAGATAACATCAGTACTAGTCATGGATGATGTTGCCTTGTTTGAGTAATGCAGCGTCTGCAGGAAAACAAGTTCAGAGAGACCAAGGACCCCTCAGAAAAGTATTCTCTGGCAGTACATTAGTTATATTTACCGTATGGGGACAGGACAAATTCTAAATATAACTTCAAATTCTAAGCATCATAAAATGGTTATGGTTAGAATGCTGCTTAATACATGAAGAATATTACCGGTACTTATTTCTTATACAATTACAGCTCCATACTGCAGTATTTCTGGTTTCTGAAAAGATGTTACTTTTTTGCAAGATCAGAATGCTAAGAATTGCAGTCTTTTATCATTCTCATTATTTTATCACTCTCATTATTTTGGCTCCCTCGCCTATACATTATTTTCTTTTTCTGGAAACTTACCTTAGGCAGCAATAAACTTCACAAAATTTTTCTCAGAGTTGAATTTTCAAATGGAGGAGTTTCTACGCCTATACCATGTTATCATACTTCATGCTGAGCCTGTTCATTT